AATCTCTTTAATTTTCTGCATGACACTCTGAATTACCTGGCCATCTAATAATACGTTCTTACTGTTTCAATGCTCCTTACATGTTTGCTTACTGTCCAAAGTAAATCAAAAAGACTTTGATTTACTCAAAGATATAATACCAAAAACCAAACTCACTGCCACTTAGTCGATTCCCAACTCACAGCGACCCCATGGAACAGGCACGGACTGCCCCTACCCTGAGATTGTAGCCATGGTAGAAGTATTGTCTTTCTCTCAACAGAGCACTTGGTGGTTTCTAACTCCTGAACTTATGGTTAGCAGCCCAAAACTTAAGCACGAGAGTAATACTTGGCATATATAAAAATGATGAGTATATGTTAACTAGGTGAACTCAAGGAATAAATCATAAATTATGCTTATATAGTATAAAGCCACAAAAAGTACCAAAACTTTGGAAATCCCAGGCCTATTCAGTATAACCCTTACCTTGTCTAGCATTTCACCTTTTTACTTCACAAAATAATCGTACTAATGTATATGAGGTGGTACCAAAAAAAAACCCATAGGTGATGTGAGGAAGGTAGTAGTACATTTGCCGTTGGTTCCACCAGGTCTGACTATTAATCAAGCTTTCAATTGAGAGGTTCTGAAAAGACTGCATTAACAGTGTGTGACAAAAAAAGGCCTGCTTTGTGGTAGACGGGGGACTGGTTTTGACACCTCGACAATGCACCTGTCCTGTTCACGCAGCCATCTCAGTGCACCACCCATTTTTGGCAAAATATAGCATGCCTCTCTTGCCCCACGCACCTGACTCGCCTGACCTCACTCCATGGAGACTTCCTTTTGATTCCAAGAATGAAGAGGGATATGAAAGGACAGCGATTTGATGACGCAAAAGAGGTGACGAAAAAACGAGGGAGGTGCTGCCAGCCATCCAAACAGATTGAGTTTGAAAATGTTTCAAGAATGGAACTGCAGATTTAACAAATGTATTAAGTGTAAGAGTACTTTGAAGGTGACAGGGCTGTTTTATAAGATTAAGAGATGAGGAGCTAATTCACTTTACAAAGGATGGGAAAGCATGAGGCTTAAACCAAAACACAAATCTATTGTCTTTGAGGGTCCGAACTCACATAGACCCTACAGAGCAGAGTAGAATTGTCCCTCAGGGTTTCTAAGGCTGCCATCGTAATGGAAGCACACAGCCACATCTTCCTCCCACTGAGCTGCTGGTGGTCAACCTTTCAGTTAACAGCCAAGCACTGTGCCACCAAAGCCAACCACTTCAAACCTGACTAGTGCAGATGACACAACGTTGCTTGTCGAAAGTGAGGAGTACTTGAAGCACCTGCTGATAAGGATCAAGGATTGCAGCCGTCAGTATGGATTACAACTCAATGTAAAGACCAAAATCCTCACAACAGGATCAGTAGGGAATATCACAATAAATAGAGAAAAAAATTGCAACTGTCAAGGATATCATCTTGCTTGGATCTAGAATGTTCATGGAGCAGCAGTCGAGCTAAAGCAACATGTTGTATTGGATAAATCAGTTGCACAAGACCTCTTTAGAGGACTGAAAAGCAAGGTTGTTACTTTGAGGACTAAGGTCCACCTGACTCAAGCTATAGCATTTTCAATTACCTATCTGAACGTAAAAGTTGGACACTGAGTAAGGAAGAGAGAAGAAGGGAAGATGCACTTGAATTATGGTGTTGGCAAAGAATGCTGGAAGTCCCATGGACGACCAAAAGAACAAACAAATCTGCCTTGGAAGAAGTACAGCCAGAATGCTCCTTAAAGGCAATGATGGCAAGATCTCACTTCATATACTTTGGACATGTTACAGGGGAGACCAGTCCCTGGAGAAGGACATCCGCTAAGTAAAAGGCAGTGAAAAAGAGGAAAGCCTTCAATAAGAGGAATTGACACAGTGGCTGTAACAATAGGCTTAAACATTAAGAACAACTGTGAGGATGGCATAGGACGGGGCAGTGTTTTGTTCTGTGGCTGTGAGTTAGAGCCGAATCAATGGCACCTAACAACAGTGCCAGGTGAAACTGAAAAGGGTAATTAGAAAACTGCCACAGAACAAAAAGGCAGCCTGGAATACAATTAAGAGACAGGTAGAGAACGCCATGTTTGCAGGTCTAAGAAAACAGAAAGCATTAAATTCCAATCCAATATATTGCACTCCTCTGTATAATATTATTCAGTAAAGAGCAAAGAGCATTAAGTCACCCTGGGAAATAACAGCTGCAACTGACAACACAGGCTTGTTGCAATGCCCCTCCAGCGCTCAATAAATCTGTCAGAGGCCATCATTTATGAACACTTTACATCACAACAGTGACCATAGTGAAGCACTGGAGTGAGTCAGGGCCTGGGTCCTACACCTAGATTATGCAAGTCACTTAGCATGCCTGATAAATGCTATGTTTCATGAATCAAAATTGATAATTAGCCTAAGATCACTTCAAATTTAAATAATGCTATAATTTTTATACAGGTTTGGGCATGATCTCATCCTTCAACTTTTACTCACCCAAGCCATTTGTGTTCACCCACTCACAGTCACCAAGTTGATTCCAACTCATAGCGACCCTATAGGGCAGAACAGAACCACTCCTGTGGGTTTCTAAGAATGCAGAACAGAACCACTCCTGTGAGTTTCTAAGAATGTGAATCGTAAAAAAAAAAGAAAAAAAAGAATGTGAATCGTTTCGGGAGCAGTCTCAGCTTTCTTATTCGGAGTCACTCATGGGTTTGAACCACTTACCATGTATTTAAAAGGCCAATGCATAACCCACTACACCACCAGGGCTCCTTATTCACCCATTGTCCATTAGCATTACCTGGAGATCTTGTTAGAATACAGATTCTGACTACACAGGTCTGAGATTGTGCTTTTCTACCAGGCTCCCCAGTGGCTCTATAAGACCACATTCTGAGGAGTACAGTTATAAAATAATGACCCAGCTCAAGTTCTATGAAGTTTGTAACTGTGACTTGTCTATTAGGAATCTGATATTGTAACACATGCACACACACAGGCACACACAAGTGCACATGTCTATTCACACTCGATCAAATTAATTCTTCCAAAATATGAATATTTTTATCTCTGGAAATACATATTTATTTCTGCAAAAATCTTCGGTATATGTCAACTGCGACAAGCCTTCAAGGATTTGACGGGTTTGGTCCTTATTGGTCCTTATTGCAAATGCATTCACAATGTCACAGAAATTGAAATATTTTTATACTACAGTTGACCCTTAAAAATCTAAACCAAGGCAGTCTCCAGACACCCTACTCATGCAGAGATGATTAAGGTCCTACAACATTGTCAAGAGGACACTGGCAATGCTTAAGCTCACAGCAGCTTTTTTTTTTTACTATCGTTTTATTAGGAGCTCATACAACTCTTATCACAGTCCATACATACATCAATTGTATAAAGCACATTTGTACATTCATTGCCCTCATCATTCTCAAAACATTTGCTCTCCACCTAAGCCCCTGGCATCAGCTCATTTCTCCCCTCCCTCCTGGTCCCCCCTCCCAACAGCAGCTTTATTAAAGAAAAAACTCAGCATGTCAGCAGGCTCACGCAGATAAAACCCATGTTGTTCAAGGATCAACTAAAATTATTGTACTCATTTGTTGTAACAAACTCCACTCACAATGTTTATGGGTAAGAATCTTCTGTTTTCGGAAGGGAAAGGAGGGCTGACACAGGCCCCAGCCCACTACTCTTATACATGGCCACAAAGCACGGCTATAATTACACTGGTTGTACTATTCACTGTGCTAAGTTCTGGGGGGGTAGGATTCTACAAATAGGTGAGGAAATTTTCAAAGACATCTTCCTGAGTGAAGGCGGATGTCAGAAACATCTGATGCAATGGATACTGCATACAGTACAGTCACTGTCTTGAACCTGAAGCCTCGGTACTGAGCAGTATGAGATGTGAAAATGGAGACTCCCTACCCAAAAAACAACATTGTAGCAAACAACGGATCCCTAAGAACCAAATTTCAAGAGCACTACCAACCTAGAAAAGAGCCCTGGTTGCACAGTGGTTAACCCTCTCAACTGCTAATCAAAAGACCTGCAGCTCCGTGGGGAGGAAGAATCAGTGCGCTTAAACATTTACTGCCTTGGAAACCATAGGAGGCGGTTTTACTCTGTCCTACAGTCACTGTTAAGTCCGGTTGGCCTCGCCCATCATGATTTTAGTTTGGGTTGATGCACACTGGTCTAAAATGGAGAGTAGGGAAAATTACCGTGTGGCACCTTAGCACCAGCAGGCAATTTACCGATCCTAACAATGTAGTCCGATCACTTCAAGATAAAGGAAAGTCCCTCACCCATAAGCAATGCAAAAAGAACTGAGAAAAATTATACATGCAATAGACCTCAAACGTATTTGGAATATCAAATACCCTCACAATATAAGACTGCAGGGCGTCCCTGGGCTTGAGCATTGGCGGCCATGCCTGGGCATAAGGCTCCACTGTGGAAATATGCAATTCCCTTTATTCTTTCATTAAAGGTAAGAATACTGACAGCTTTCACAGTACTGTTGTTCACATTAGTGTCGCATGTGCAAAAATAATCTACAGTGGTTTGATACTACACAGCTACGTTCTTTCATAATTTGCACTACCTATCTCCCAAGGGCAAATGCGCACACACACACACACACACACACACCCCCGCCCGGCCTGCAAACGCAGCCAAAAACGCGTCCCCTCCGCTCTCACCCCGGCCCACAGCCCGTGCCTCCCGCACCCCGATGCCTCCGCGGCCATGCTTCTCGGGCTTGGGCTCCCGCGGGGCGCGCCCAGCTCCCAGGTGTGCCTGCAGTGAAGCAGACACCGAAACGTGCAGGCCGCTCCGCCCCGGCCCTGCCACCCCTCAGCGCCCGCTAGCCCACGTTCCGCCCGCGGCTCTCGCTCCGCTCGCCCCTTCCGCTCGCGGGCGCCGGGTCTTTGAAGCCGGGCCTCACCTTTGATTCGGTCCGGAAGGGCCCGGCCGTCCCGCTCCCGCTCCCCGACACGAAGCGGCGTCGGTTGGTCCCGCGCCGCACGCGTTCAGTGCACACGCCGCCGCCCACTGATGCCGAACGCCGCTCCTAGGAACGCGCCATGTTCAGCGTCGCAGCTGCAAACGACGCGGACGCGCAAATACTACGTCACCGGCAGCAGCGCGCGTGGAAAGAGCAAAGACAGACGGCGATAGGCGGCCAGTAGGAAGAGGAAGGAGGGGCTTCCTCTTCGAAACCAAAGGCGTCCGGGCTCTAAAAAAAAAAAAAAAATTAGCTCTGTGCGCTTGCGCTGTACGTGGAGGCGGGCGCTTAAACCAGTTCCCTCTGTAACCATAGAAACCATAGGTCCGCATAGCCCATACAAAAACCTATTGTCTTTGCTTTGAACCAGAATTACGTCTTCTTCCCTTACCTACTTACATGCATTCAACAGCAATGAGTTTGGTATTTTACATAAGAAACTGTTGATGCAATAGTTAACTACTCTGCTGCTCACTGGTTCCAACCTATTGAACAGATCCAGCTGCAAAGCCTATAATGTACTTCTGTTACATTAAAATGAACAGCCCCCTCCCCAAGAAGAATTTACTTCAGAGGACCACACTGAAGCTGCAGCTTAGGGAGAAGGACATGTCTGATCAGAGCACACGGAAGCAAATGAAGGGGGAGGAAAAGAGAGTGGAACACATCCTCGCCCACCAAGCCCCACTTAGAGCAGCCAATGCACAGAGAAGACCATATGTCCAGCCCCATTATGAGACATGACATCCTTCACTGACCCATACCCCTACAGGGGACAACACTAGAGACACAGTGTGGGAATTGCACCCGTTTGACCACACCACACGAGGAAAAGCACTAAGGGTATGCAACAGAACAGCAAGGGGAGCAGAGCAAGGAAGTCCCCAGGGAATACCAAACATAGACTTTGGGGCCAGGGCATCAGACTCGACTGGAAAACACTCCTAAAGGTCAACAAACAGACCTTGAACTATTTACAAGCTTTTCTTATTTTGTCATTGGATTTTTGTTGTTTTGTTTTCTTTTGTTGCTTTGTTTTGGTCTGTCTTGTGTTTTGTGCATATTATTATGTCTGCAGGTCTATCTAGATAAGATAGGCGGGATAAACAATCTGGAGAAGGAAAGACGGAACCTGTGGTTGGGGGTGGAATATAGGAGAGGGGGAAGCAGGGGAAAGGAAGTGGGTGTTAACAAACCCAGGGACAAAGAAACAAGTGATCCAAAATCAGTGGCAAAGAGGGTGTAGGAGGCCTGGTAGGGCTTAGTCAAGGGCAATGTAACAGAGAGGAATTACTGAAACCCAAATGAAGGCTGAGTATGATAGTGGGACAAGAGGAAAGT